TCCCCCAGAGCTGAAGTCTTTAATGTTTGTTTTACAGCTCACAAAATATGTATCAATGTATTTTTTGATAACTGACCTTTTTTAACATCCTAATTTTTCTCTGTTAATCCTGTATACTAATGCCAGGGGGTTTCTTTATTCCTTGTAATTAGAATAAGTTGTGCTTTTAGATAAATGTACATTTTGAACAAAGGAAAAGCATGTGGTGAATTAGAACAATATGTTTTGAATATAGTTGAGGATAAGGCAGCTGACTTTCTTAAAAATATATACAAAGATGCTGAAAACAAGTTTTTTGTGTGGAATAGCTAAATGGTTGTCTAGATAAAGAAATCAAACAAAGTAAAAGTCCAGAGTCACTTTTCGATAATCTCTGGATGAAATCCTAACAAGTTTTCACATTTGAAAGCACATGTTTAACCATGTATTCTAGCTCCTGAAGTCCCTCTTGAAGAATCTGCTGAAAGACCCCAAGTGTGTCACGTTGATGATTCTGAGTTATTTCCTATTGGCTGAGTGGCAGAGGCATTTATTATTACTTAATAACTGTCTTTGGTCATATTCAAACTTGGAATGATATAGTAGTATCAGTAAATCTTAGGTAATGACACCATAAAATATCTATTATAGCTTTGATATGAAATGCTGGCATTGTTGTTATATTTCTTGATTTTATGCATGCCTTTAGTGACTCTTATTTTACTTTACATATTTAGTTTCCTTGCACTATGTCAGTATTTTATGACATAAATCATTTTTGGATGACAGTGTCCAATGGCTGAGGAATAAAAATTTATCTAAAAATCTCTTAGCCCAGTCAGAATAATCAGTATTCCCCAAAGGTGGCTCTCTTCATGCCATAGTATTCAGCCCCAAAGAAGACACATTTCCACTTTTAGCTATAGAAGATTTGCTACAGGTAAATGAGGTAAATTTTGTAAGTATCCTTGACTGGAAACAGAACTGTCTTCATATATTTCACAATGGTCTTGAAACTTAATCAGGATGCCTGCCTAATGAGTTACTAGCTTCACTTGAAGACTCCTAGTAGTGATGTTGAGTAATTTAAGGCCCATTAAGGATCTTTATCAGGATTCAGAAAGGCATGTTCATGAAAACCCTTTAAGTATATTTGTTTTATTGACTTATTCTTAGAGAAACAACCCTGTTACAAATCTGAAAGTCCCTGAGAATAGATTTTGATGTTGAGCTTTTCTGAGTAAGGTTCACTTCAGGGTAGCTTCTTCTGTAAGGATGATTTTGACTTTTAAATTTGCTTGAGAATTTTTTATATAAATTAAATCAGACACTTAATCTAGAGAATTACTTCAAAATCCTCAATTTGGGAATACTTACGACCATGGCTGTCTTTGTTTGTTTTATGTTGTTATTATTACTTTTTTTTATTTTAATCTTGGGTTATTGACATATGTCAACACCTGGCAAGATTTTTGAGATAGAAATAAGGAAAAAATTGTTCCTGCTCTCACAAAGCACCTAGAAAATATGCAGATTTGTCACACGTCAGTACTTTGTCCTAAAAGTTGTTAGTAAGAATTTCGTATACACATATGGCATGATGACTCTTTTGAATATTTATATATCATATTTTATAGCTCTGCTTTGCTTATAAAATAAGTTTGTGGGTATTCAACATTTCTTCATGTATACAAACATATACATATGCACACTACCAAGTAACGACTGGCTAAATGAGTTATCACTGTATTTACTCATTAGCAGTGAGTAATAACAAAAGATGCAGAATATTTAATGTTACAGATTTTTTCCTACTTTCATCATCTCACAGCAAAGCAGGATGGCAAGTTTTTAGTTCAGGGTTTCAGGAGCAACCTACTATTGGCGCGTGTAAGTGACTTAGCTCAGCTCACTCATCCTGGTTTGTATGCTCAGGATTCCAAATGGATTATTTTGGCTACAGTTTCTGTTTTAATCCAACAGGAGATACAAATGCTTATAAACATCAACTAGAAAACATTTATATATATTTTTTAGTTTTATAGAGTATACTATAGCATTAAAAACAGTAAAACATTGGTGTGAATATGAATGTTGATGTGAGAAAAACACTTTCATAATACTTCATTTTTAAAACATGAGTAGAAACTCAATTGCTTCTGCAATAGAATTAGTCAATTTATTTTTCTTGCTCACAGCACTAGTGTTCATAGATGTTAGTTGCCATGAATATGCATCAGCAGAAAGTGTAAACTACAACCTGTAGTAGCAATTGCAAATTTCACCTCACTTACACAGTCAGTCATCTATTTATGGCTCTCCTTTTTTATGGTATGTATGCTCTTGTATCTTTCATGTCTTTTGTGTTCATTCTATCAAATGAAGTTGATTTTCTCTAGTGTCTCAAGTTGGAGATTGTCTGCTGTTTTTCGTAAATAGCATGAGAATTTGGTATGCCCACTATGCACCTAATTATATTTCCTTTGAATATTTCTCTTCTACGCAATTCAGTTTCCTGTCTGTTAGTGGTAATTCAGGTTGGATCTACACTTTGGAAAAAGTCAGTGGACCAGTGAAAAATTTAGCCAAGTATCACATAGCCAAAATAAATTCTTTTTTTAACCCTGAGTAAATGTGAATGTTAATTTTTATATAATTTTTAAAATTTATAAAATATAGGTGTTTGATCGGTCCCATTGAAAGGAAAAGCAATCAGTTCGATACTAAGATAAACTCTGGTACTAGTTATGTAATGCTAATTAAGTGGATTAAAATTTACTTACTGTGAAAAATATAAAAAGAATCCCTAAAACCTAAGACACCTTGTAAGTTTAAAAAAAGAGAAATGATGCAATAAAATAATCCTCCAAATAAAAGATTTATGCACAGCAAAACCAGCTGCTTGACTCTGTATAATTCATGTATTTATCCTTTCAACAGATACTTTTTGATTCCCTTACAGTAAATAGAAGAAAGTCTGTGTCTTTAAACAGCTTAAATTTTACTGGGAAAAATAGTTCTTACAAGAAAAGAAATAAGCAAGATAATTTCAGATTGTAGTAATTCCTTGAAGGAAATAAACAGCTAAGATGGAGCATTAGTTAAGGCAGCCACTTTGGGTGGGCTGCTTAGGAAAGCCCTTTCAGAGGAGTTGATTTTTGAGCTAAAGGATCGGACAAAAATGCTCTGTGAGTATCAGGGGGGACACATGTTCTAGGCAGAGAGAACAAATGTAAAGGCTGGGAATAGTGAGTGAGGACTTGGTATGAGAAAATATTGGGAGAGAAGGGTGAGATTACTCAGGGCACAATAGGCCATAGCCAAGACTGGATTTTTTGGAAGAGGCACTGAAAATTTTAAAGAGGAGGGATAAAATCTGATCTGTGGTTTTAAAACATCTGACTGTTGTATGAATTATAGTTAGTAGGGAGGTAAATGGAGAGGCTAGGAGGCCAAGATACTGTAGTAACATGGAAGTGAGGCAGTGGGACCATAGACACTGAGGAAGGCAGTGGAGGTGGAAAGGAGTTGAGGCAGAGTAGCCATCTCCTGGTGAAGGAGAGCAAGGAACCCAGGATGAACATCACCCCTAGGATGCTCACTTATCCCTAAAGAGGAAAACAAAAATTAACAGAGCACAAGCCTTAATGAAGAAGTAATCAAACTAAAGAGGCATGAACTACTTACATTGTCATTTAGGTATTTCCATCCTACAGCTGAGGAATAGGAGTTTCACACCTAACTAAGGAATTTCAGAGAGTCAGTCTACCTGGACTCCTTGTCTAAGCTCTGCCCAAGACCTTCTAATGGAAAAGGTCTAGCTATAGATTGTTTCTCCCAAGCTGGATCTGCATCTTATTTCTCTGTTTCCAACACACAGTATAGTACCTCTAGGAGCAGAGTAAGCCAAAGTTGGTCAAATTTAACATCAGTTTCTCCTCTTCGTTTTTTTCAGCAGATGTGAAGGGCCTATTATGTGTAGGGACTCTTTTATATTCTTTACATAAATTATTCTATTAGTTCATACAGAAACTCTGTTAGGCTGTTATTACTGTTGTTGTTAAGAATGCCCCCTTTTTACAGACAAAGAAACTAAGGTTGGTTAGGAGATATTAACCATGTGGGTGTGTATCACAGTTAGTGAGGCAGAATTAGAATCCAAACCTATGTCTGTTGTGTTTTAAAACTTCTGCTTTTTCATAGCATTGTGCTGCCTTATTGATCAGAAACCAAATTGATAAATCATTTAGGGCTGTATGTTTTTTGGCTCTTTCTAGCAGGTCTTCAATTAGTGAAAAGTGAGATTAGTGAAAAATGGTGACAGAGAAATATAAAGACATTAAAGAGACATATTCATTTCTCCCTGATAAATTAATAAAGGTGCAGTGTGTCCTAAATGAATAACTCTGCCAACCGATAGGAGGAAGCTCTCCAACAGACCTTGAGAATATCAGATGATTCAGGACAGAGCAAATCAGGTGACAGATGAAAGGCATATTGTGTGTTATACTAATACACTTGCAAAGCACCGCACTATGTATAGAAAGGTCAAAAATGATGGACCAAAGCCAAGATTCTTGGAAGGTTTGATTTTAGGGTCTTGAGAAGGGGAGGAGAAAACAAATGAGTGCAAGGGTAATATCCATGTTGGTTTTCTCAATCACCTTTGATGCTTGTAAGCTAGAGTCCTGGGACGGCCCCATCCCACCCCCAAGACCTTCTGGAGAATGGGAACTGCCTGTTTAACAAACGTTCCCAGGTGATTTGGGTACCAAGTAGGTAATGGACCACATCTTGGGAGAATACTGATTTAGTCCACTCTGTTTAATTTACAAAGCATCGTGAGGCTCATCAAGGAAAATGGTTATCCAAAGTTGTAGCACTCTTTTTTTTGTTGTTAGAGCTTAAGCTAAATCAGTCTCCTAGAGGCCCAGTGCTGTCTTCTTTGAGACTTAGATTTAATTTTTCCAGCTCAGTCATGGATCAGCTAACAGCATGTATCATTGATATTTCTCTTCTAGAATCACAACCACAGCTGCCTGCATGATGGACCTGAGGCGGTACCCACTGGATGAACAAAACTGCACCTTGGAAATTGAAAGCTGTAAGTTTTTCTGACAATCCAGTTAGACTGAACTTGGCTTTAAGGTTCTCTTTGGGCAAAGGTCTCCTACCCTGGTTCACATCCAGACCACAAGTCCTGCAAAGGTTGTGCTAGTGTGCCAAGTTTCGTGGAGGGAGGTGCTCACAGTGTCTTCCCTCAGTCATGCTGCCACCCTCTTAGTGCCATCCCTAAGTCCCTGGGAGGGACGTGTAGGGAAGCAGTAATCTAGCAATAAAAGGAAGATACTAAGAGTCTGGAAGGAGACCAAGGGCTATTTCAAGAATTTATTGTATGGAATTGGTGCAACTAGCTGCAACAGGCTTGGAAGAATAGGTGGAGATGGCAGCATAACACGAGATGTCCTTATTGCCTTTGCGTTTCACCAGTGTTATCTCTGCAATTAATTGCAGAGTAAAAGTGGCCTCTGGACTAGTTAAAACATTCACAGAGTGTGGATTGGTGGAATGTTTTTTATTTCGAGGGACTATTTTCATTGTTTCAAATTTATTTTATATTCTTGCTGAAGGCCATATGATGAGCAAGATTGGTGTATGTGTGTTTTTATTCTCTTTCCTGTGCTGACCTGTTTTACAATGTTGGTGCTTTTCTAGGCCGCATTTTCAGCGTCCTTCTTGATGATTCAGTCACCTACCCTGTTGATTGGGCTAAAGCGTTTATTTCATAACCCATTTCCATTTCAGAGGTCACACAGAGAGGTCGTTTGAGGTGGAGTAGGATTTCAAATCTTTTTTCTCTCTCAGTTCTTTGCAATGTTTTCCTATTTAATCCTATCAAACAATTGGAAGCTGATGATTTTATATCCAGCATTCTATATAATGACTAGCTTGACTGCTTTGTGGATACTCTCAGTCTTTGGGAGGAACTCTAGCCTTGGCGAGCCATGAAACTCTAAATCACTGCTCTGAGCAGAAATACTGCATTTATGACACATTGCTGGTATTTTTGCCCATTTCAAAAAATAGCTTCGAGGGATAATTAAATTTATATGCACTTTTTGAAGAACCGGATTGCATACTTGTATTTCCAAATCATCATTATTTTCACATTAGATCTTTGCCATAAAGAACTATTTAATGAAATTGGTCCAAGGGATTTTGATGATGATTAGTTTTATGTAGATATCTCTCGGATAACTTTGCATTTTTGTAACTCACAACGCAATTTAGAGAATAATGTTCTTCAAAGTTCAAATTCTTTGGTTGTTTCAAATCGCTGATATAAGGATATTTTGAAAAAAGTATGTTGCTGTGTACTACAAATGAATTTTTGTGGTAAGAGCATTTTTTTGTGGTAGAATTTGACTGGAATTTTAAATAATCATAATTGTACATGGTTAAAGCACCTGCACTGATGTAATGTCACTTGCGCCTTTCACAACCCTCATAGTAGTAAACGAGGCCTTTTCATTTTGAAGAACCGATGATGCCTAAGGACACAGGCAGCATCCAAGTGTTCCATGTAATTAAAGTATAATTCTGACATGAATATTCTTTTTGACATGAATATTTAAAAATTAACATGATAACTCCTGGACTTCCCTGGTGACGCAGTGGTTAAGAATCTGCCTGCCAATGCAGGAGACACGGGTTGGAGCCCTGGTCCGGAAGATCCCACATGCCGCGGGGCAAATAAGCCCATGTGCCACAACTACTGAAACCCGCGTGCCACAACTACTGAAGCCCACGCGCCTAGAGCCTATGCTCTGCAACAAGAGAAGCCACCTCAATGAGAAGCCCGTGCACAGCAATGAAGAGTAACCCCCGCTCACCACAGCTAGAGAAAGCCCTCGTGCAGCAACGAAGACCCAACGTAACCAAAAATAAATAAATTAATTAATTAATTAAAAAAAAGAAACATGATAACTCCTTAGACTTTTAGAAAGTTTAAGTTTTATAAAGGGGCTTTTACATATCTCATTTCAATTCACAATTACCCTGGTAAATGATATAGATTTTTCCAGCTTTTCTGAGATATAATTGACATATGTCATTGTGTGAGTTTAAGATGTACAGTGTGATGATTTGTTATGTGTACGTATTGCAAAATGATTACCACAGTATGGTTAGTTAACACATTCATCACTTCACATAGTTACCGTGTGTGTGTGTGTGTGTGTGTGTGTGTGTGTGTGTGTGTGTGTATATTAAGAACTTCTAAGATTTACTCTATTAGAAACTTTAAGTATATTGTACAGTATTGTTAACTGTAGTCACCATTCTGTAGATTAGATACTCAGATCTTATTCACCTTATGAATGAAAGTTTGTACCCTTTAAGTGTTTCTGTGAGTTCAGTATTTTTTTAGATTCCACATATAAGTAAGATCATACAGAGCTGGTCTTCCTCTCTCTGACTTATTTCACTTAACCTAATGCCCTCATGGTTCATCCATGTTGTCACAAGGATTTCTTTTTTATAGAAGAATAATATTCCATTCTCTGTGTTTATGTGTGTGTGTGTATCACATCTTCTTTATCCATTCATCCATCAACAGACACCTAGGTTGCCTCTACATCTTGACTATTATAAAGAATGCTGCATCAGTTAATCTACGACAAAGGAGGCAAGACTACACAATGGTGGAAAGACAGTCTCTTCAACAAATGGTGCGGGAAAAACTGGACAGCTACATGTAAAAAAATGAAATTAGATCACTCTTTTACACAAAAATAAGCTCAAAATAGATTAAAGACCTAAATGTGCGACTGGACACTATAAAACTCCTAGAGGAAAACATAAGCAGAACACTCTCTGACATAAATCGCAGCAATATCTTTTTCAATCCATCTCCCAGAATAATGGAAATAAAAATAAACAAATGAGACCTAATTAAACTCAAAAGTTTTTGAACAGCAAAGGCAACCATAAACAAAACAAAAAGACAACCGGCAGATTGGGAGAAAATATTTGCAAATATTTTTTGACCGACAAGGGATTAGTCTCCAAAATTTACCAACAGCTCATGAGGCTTAATGTCATCAAAACAAACAAGCCAATCAAAAAATGTGCGGAAGACCTAAATAGACATTTCTCCAAAAAAGACATACAGATGGGCAAGAGGCACATGAAAAGATGTTTAATATCGCTAATTATTAGAGAAATGCAAGTCAAAACTACAATGAGATATATCACCTCACACCAGTCAAAACAGCTATCGTGAAAAAATCTCTAAACAATAAATGCTGGAGAGGGTGTGGAGCGAAGGCAACCTTCCTACACTGTTGGTGAGAATGTAAATTGGTAAAGCCACTATGGAGAACAGTATGGAGTTTCCTTAAAAAACTAAAAATAGAGCTACCACGTGACCCTGCAATCCCACTTCTGGGCATGTATCTGGAGAAAAACATGGTCCGAAAGGATGCACACACCCCAGTGTTCATTGCAGCACTGTTTACAATAGCCAAGACATGGAAGCAACCTAAATGTCCATCGACAGAGGAGTGGATAAAGAAGATGTTGTACATGTATACAATGGAATATAACTCAGCCATTAAAAAGAATGAAATAATGCCATTTGCAGCAACATGGACGGACTTAGAGATTGTCATACTGAGTGAAGTAAGTCAGACAGAGAAAGAGAAATATTGTATGATATCCATTATATATGGAATCTAAAAAAAATGATACAAATGAACTTATTTACAAAACAGAAACAGACTCATAGACTTAGAGAACGAAATTATGATTACCGGGCAGAAGGGTGGGAGGAAGGGATAGTTAGGGAGTTTGGGATGGACATGTACACAGTGCTATATTCAAAATGGATAACAAACCAGGGCCTACTGTATAGCCCAGGGAACTCTGCTCAATGTCATGTGGCAGCCTGGATGGGAGGGGAGTTTGGAGGAGAATGGATACATGTATATGTATGCTGAGTCACTTTGCTGTGCACCTGAAGCTGTCACAACGTTGTTCGTTGGCTATACTACAATATAAAATAAAAAGTTTTAAAAAAAAGAATGTTGCAATGAACATGGTTGTACAGGAACTTCTTAGTGCTAGTGATTTAATTTCTTTTCGATATGTACCCAGAAGCAGGATTGCTGGATCATATGGTAGTTCTGGTTTTAATTTTTTGAGAAACTTCCATACTGTTTTCCATAGTGACTGTACTAATTTACATTCTTATCATCAGTGTACAAGATTCCCTGTTTTTCACGTCCTAGCTAGCAAGCACTTATCTGTTGTCTTTTTTATGATAGCCATTCTAACAGGTGTGAGGTGGTTGTTCATTGTGGTTCTGATTTGCATTTCCCTGATGCAAATTCTTTTGCATGTGGTTATCCAGTTTTCCCAACACCATTGATTGAATGAGACTATCATTTCTCCATTGAGCATTCTTGACTCCCTTGTCAAATATTAGTTGGCCATATATGTGAGGGTTTATTTCTGGACTCTCAGTTCTGCTTCATTGGTCTATGTGCCTGTTTTTACGGCAGACCCATGCTGCTTTGATTACTATAGTTTTGTAGGATAGTTTAAAATCAGGAGTGTGATACCTCCAGCTTTATTATTCTTGTTTCATATTGCTTTAGCTATTCAGAATCTTTTGTTCCATACAAATTTTACGATTGTTTGTTCAATTTCTGTAAAAACTGCCATTGGAATTTTGGTAAGTATTGCATTGAATCTATAGATGGCTTTGGGTGGTGGATATTTTAACAATATTAATTCTTCTGATTCATGAACATGGGATATCTTTCCATTTATTTGCATCTTCTTTAGTTTCTTTCATCAATGTTTTATAGATTTCATTGTACAGATCTTTAACCTCCTTGATCAAGCATTCCTTATCTCTAAGTATTGTATTGATTTTGATGCTCCTGTGAAGAGGATTGTTTTCTTAATTTCATTTTCAGATAGTTTATTGTTAGTGTATAAAATTATAACTGATTTTTATATGTTAATTTTGTATACTGCAACTTTATTGAATTAGTTTGTTCTAGCAGCTTTTTGGCAGTCTTTAGGGTTTTCTATATG